TTGTGGGTTCAACTTTGTGAATACAAATACACATATGCACATACACATAGGAAGATATGATGGGTTACGAGCAGATGAATCAGATGACAATGAAGACAACGACGACGATGAAGAATTTCAATAAGATGGGAACAATCAATAATACTCCACAGAAGAAAACAACGAGGAGAATTGTGTCGGCCATTGATGGTGGTGCGGCGGCTAGAGAAGGAGATCGCCGTCGGAATCTCAAGACTCTTGATCTCAGCGGCATGTCCTTGGCTTCTCTTTCTTGCTCTTCTATCAACTTAGCTTCCATCTCCAAACTCGATCTCTCCAACAACAATATTCAGGTATATAAATATTTAGGTTAACGGACATCTGTCACATCTTTTACGTATTAGCTATTTTATAACTTATACAAATACTTGAATGCTACAAAATTCTTGTTCTCACAATAACTTCGAAAAATAAAACTAAAAATATATTTCAAAAGATACTGTATCTTTTTTTGACCGTAAAGTATATTAGACAGAAAAAACATAAAAAGACGTGACAGTACTAGTATTCGTCGTGAGTTTCTTTTGGTGTTTTAGAGACTCGAGAGGTTAACAACGATATAACAATTTATTTGGGGGCATTTGTGTGTTACTTAAATGAGTTTAATTTAAAGTTGTGGGCTCTAACTAAACTATAAATACGTTGCTAACTAACATTAAAGAAATTATAAGGATCGTAGAGAAAATGAAGCAAGGAAACTTCCTCTTGCATATGCATGATTCGTTCGAGAAAACAAAAAGGAATGATAATTGTGAACACATGATAACCTTCATAATAGGGCTGGGCAAATTATCCTTAAATTTGATCCGATTCAGTATTAAATCAAAGCAAAGCAAATAGTAAAATTCTGTATCTTTCTAAACCAAAACAAATCACAAATACTAATTTTAAAAATCTGAATATCCGATCTGATCTGTATATTAATTATGTATAAAGTAGATTTATAACATATATTTAAATTTTTTACTTTAAAAAAAAATTTGGTGAGTATATTTATAGTAAAAATAGGTAGATGCTAACTTCAGTTGAAATATATTTCTTAAATAAAAAATATGTATTTAATTTTTTACTTTTCATTTTTAAATTCTATCGAATAAAATTAAACTCGGTTCATATATTTCTTCATTAATTACTTTAGATCTTATATTAAAACTTTTGTTTTGAAAAAAAGATTAGAGTGTTTTAAAATTTTTTTTGTTTAAAATGGATATTCGTGAAAATCTAGATATCCGCAAATATCTAGAAAAAATCCGAATATCCGTAATCTCGAATCCAAAATTTTTTGAATCAAAGCAAATCAAATAACAAATATTGTATTTTTTTATATCCGATCTGGTCGAGGCCTACTTCATATTAATAAATACAGTACTTTATAGTAAACAATCAAGATAATGTTTTTATTCTTTTGGTCAATGTCTTTTTTTGTTTAAAAAAAAAACTTAATTAAATTTATATTAGCAAGACAGAAAACAAAGAGGCTACGGATTCTTTTTTTTTGGCTACGGATTAAAACAATATTTTTCCAGAAGTACCGGAGAAAGAAGACAAAAATTTCCAGAAAATTTAAATCATCACTAGCTACTTGCATATATTTGTTTCATTAGTTTGCATATATATATATGGAGGACAACGCTAGCTTTATACACAAATTTCTTTAATTTAGTCAACTCGAACCTTATAAAGCATATTCGTTATATTTACTTGCAGTCTGGGTGCATAAGCAATTGAGCTACAAGTGTTGGTTTTTTCGTTATGTGACAAATATTAATGAACAGCATTAACTATTCATAAATATGAGTTGATCTTTAACATTTACTTCTCTCTTTGACTCTTCTGTATCGAATCTGTCCTCTTCCACTAGCACTATTTTCATGGACTCTTGATAGATCAAAATATATATTGTCTTGATACGTTTAGTTTAGGTTTAAATAATACAACTCATATTTGTTGGTTGCCCTCACGCTACCAAATCATCATTCAAGGTCATGGGTGGTTAACCCATCCCCCTTCAATGGGAACATGTTGTAAAAA